TTTTCTATCTTGTCCATTCGGTACCATCAAATTAAAACAACAATTAAAAGAGAACAAAAAAAGAAAAACTAAGCAATCATTCGTTAAAAAATAAATCTTAATAATAAGAAAAACAAAAATCTTTTTTTAAGACGATATAATTGGCATTTGTTCTGATATAATATTGTTTTTAATTAATCCTGTTTCCTGCCATATCAATTTTTTTAATTCTGCAATTGGATAATCATCCATTTCCATTTCAAATGTACATGGATGTATTGCTATCGGTTCATCTTGAGGATCATGATGTTGTTTTAAATATGGATGTGCAAGTGCATCGCATACAGTAATACGTTTATTTGGATCAAATGTTAATAAACGCTCAAGTAAATCTAATGCATTTTTATCCGAATGTGGAAAAAGACGACTAAGTGGTTGTTTTACACGAAATTTTAAACTAGATATATAATTTCGTGCTTTTTCATTTATAATCGATGCTAAATCATGTTCATCAGGAGAACCGACAACATTAAGAATTAAATTAAGTTGATCAATATAATGTTTACCTAAATGAAAGTTTGTGTTTTTTTTCGTTTTATTCGATATAAATAATACAAACCAGGAAATAATGGTTTTCCATCAAGCATTTCAGCTAAAATACATCCTACAGACCATAAATCAATTGGTTTATTATAACCGCGAGCATTTAACATTATTTCTGGTGCTCGATACCATCTTGTAGCTACCTATAAACATATATATTTTTAAATAATTCAAGTAAATTGAATTTTTACATATTCTGTAAGTACACCATTATGATCAAATGATGGATCAGCAACTCTTGCTAAACCAAAATCGCATATTTTTAAATCACAATTTGTATTTAATAATAAATTTGATGGTTTAAGATCACGATGAAGTACATTTGCTGAATGAATATATTTTAATCCACGTAGAATTTGATATAATAAATAACAAACATGTTCTGAACCTTAAATATAATAAACATATGTTTTCCTTCTTGAAACTTTTTTTTAACTTACTTAGTTTTTCATGTTTAATTAATTTATACATATCACATTCCATTAATTGTTGTACCATATAAATATCTTTCATTTGTTCAAATGTATTCGCATGTATGATATCTTGCATATTAATAATATTTTCATGTTTAAATCTTGCTAGAATTTTTATTTCACGTAATGTACGTTGACAAAAACATTGATGTTCAAATGGTGATACTTTTTTTATTGCAACACGTTCACATGTTTGTTTATCATAAGCTGATACAACCATACCATATGCACCTTCACCAATATATTTTAAATCTGTATAACGTGGACCAACTTCAAATATTTGATCTTTTATTAATTCATATGATAATAAATTTTGATTATCATTTGTTGATTCTTCGACAACTGTTGTTGTTGTTGTCGTCGTCGTCGTCGTCGTCGTTGTCGAATCAATTGAAGCAGAATTAATATTACTCATCAAGAATAATAAAGAAAAAATATTCACATCTAAGTATTTACAAAAAATTTGTATTATCTTTCAAGCAAAGACGGATCATAGATAAAAAAAAATGAAATTTATATCTATCTAAATATTATATTTATTGAAAATACAATATTTTCTTTCTTTCTTACAATTACCTTTATATTTTTAGTAAGCTATAAGCTAGCACGTAACAAGATAAATGTGTAAAGGAATGTCAACGCTACTATAGAAAACAATTCCTTATGCTCCAGATATATGCGTGTTCGGAGAAAAAAAAGAAAAAATAGACGAGAGGGAGGAGTTCAACAACAAAAAAAAATGACAATTGGTCGGTCGCTTAATACTAGGTCTTGCATTTGGTCTTTCTCTCTTTTGATACTTTTTTCTTTCATCCTGTAGATTATTTCTAGAGACTTTTATCTTTTCCATCAGTAGTATTACTCGAAAAAATGTTTTTGATATAATTATCATTATTGATATTACTTTATCAAAATATAAAATAGAATAATAATGTGTTAAATAATCTTTTGTCTATTCTGTATTATATCAGCTCGATTCTATTAATTGACTTTTTATCTATAGGCACATATTGAATAGAATAATAAGATGAAATTTTGTTTTTTGTTTTTATTGACTAAATATTAATAAACGATTAATATTAGAAATGTATGATAAATAATAATAGATGGAATGTACGTGAAACTAAAAATAATAGGAAAGAAAAATACGGACATGATTTGCATAAAAATAAGATAAAATAGACAAGTTGTCATAAATGACGCTTCAGAAAAAAAAAGATGATTCTATATATTGATTATATTAGTTTGTTGGTCGATCTTGTTTCTGCTAGATTATTCTTAACATTATTATGTAGAGGTTTATGATTGATAGTGTATAGTTATTAAATGTGACTTTTTTTTTGTGATATTTTTAATTTAGAATTATAATGAGAAATAAAAAACTTACGATTTTTTATTTGTCGATAATCTTGATAAAAATACACAAAAGGTCACGTGAATGCGTGACAATCTTATTTATCTTTAGTCGGAGATTATTGAATGATTGATGCGTCTGACAAATTTGCTTCTATTCTCTTGTGAATTTCGAATTATTATCGAGATGAAGACAAGTAGTTGACCTCGATCTCTAACAATACTTACAAGTTGAAGTACTCACACACTACTGTTAGAGTCAAACTTTAATAAAAATTAATTTTATAGATAACTAGTGTACTACTTAATTGTCTTCTTAAGATGATAGAGATCATTAGTATGTTCATACGGATCAAGTTTTCTCGAGTACTGAAGATCCTACAATCTAACCAATGATATGATGAGAGTTACTACGTAGTAATTCGAACTTAAATATATACATAATCTTAGTTCAATCTGTTTTTTGTCAATGTCTGATAGACTAGTGTCCTACATTTTATAAAGGATTGATCCCCGATAGTCTTATTTTCTTCTTTTTGATATATGTCTAGTTTTCTCCCACTTACAAAAAGACAAGTAAATCAATTTATCTACTCTTCAACTAAATAAAAGCATAGTGGTAAAGAAAGGAAATGGAATATAAAAAAAAACACAACAATATTTTAATATATTCAACCATGAAATCTTCGCTCGTCTTTTCACAATAATTTCTTATTCCATCATTGAAATTACTATAAAATACTAATGATAATCAAGACATTTTTCTTATTAGTGTCAATTCAAACAACTTGATAAACTATTTATTCACCTGAGATTAACGCATAAGCTAAAAAGATGACGCATTTCCATTACTGTTCTGTAAATTCTAGATTTTCAGACTTTCTTATATACAGCATAAACAACAGAGAGGATAAATATTTGTTATTGACTTGTCAATGACTCGACAGTCTATTTCTTAGGTTATCAATCATTCACTGATTATCTAGGGTTATTTTTGTAGTAAATAAAAAAAAAATACGAAAATCTTAATAATAATAATTATTAATTTACATCTTTTTTCTGTGATATGTCAAAGGCTCTTGATAGAAAATTGGCATCGGTTCAACTCATCTATAGCTACGCTACTATTAACATACTAATTTCCGTTTACATTTGTAAAGTTATGACAGAAGAAGAATATCGAGTAAACAATGATTACAATATAAAATCTATTATATGTTTTCTTTTTGATCGAGTAGTTCTTTGTACTATTCACAATCATATTCTAATTACTCTCCTAGTTTTTCATTTATTATATGAATGAATTTTACACTCTAATCATTTTGATAATTCATTGTTTGTATTCGTGATAAATTAGACTCAACTCAAATGATATTATTTACTAGAAAGAAATCGTAACTCTTATTTATTGCCTTGTAAATTAAATTGAAACAAAATTATATACAGTGAAGAAGACAACTCTTCAAAAATAATTCGCGATAATGAGAAAAATAGATCGTGAATTCTAATGATCTGCACCAGATGCGGCTGAACTGACAACTACAATATTCATAAATATATCGTTTCTTTTGAATTATCAATTAATCAAAAATTTCAAAATCCACATATTTCGGTCAATACGAAAAAATCATCTCTTATATTTAATAAGATAATACATAGTTATAGATATATATATACAGAAAAAGAAAGAACTTTATTTTTTTGAACCACCAAAACCACTAAATCCCATAATAGCAGCCATATCATCTTCGCCACCTTCATCCTTATCATTAGTTGATTGATATTCGTCTATTTTTCGTTTTTTATTATCTTTCTTTTTATCACGTCGTTGGGCTTTCATTTTTTCTTCCTAAAAAAAACAAAAAAAATAATTTCCTATCAATATATTATTAATTTATCTTACTTCTTCTTTCAATTCTTTCAGACGTTCTTCAAAATTATATTCTTTTTGAACTTCAGTTTGTTTTGCTTTATTCATTTCAATTCGTTTTCGTACTTGATCAACATTCGATCGTTCAACACGCATTGACATACCCATATTTCGTTGATCTAAAAATTCATTATCGATTAACATAAAAAAATTAAAAAAAAGTTTTTATAACATACGTTTTTTTCCATTAATATGATCCAGAAAATTAATTGAATCTTTTACAATACAATCACATACATTGCAATAATATCCTCCAGCATCAGATGGTGCAGTTGCTTTTGTAACAATAACAGATTTACCCAATCGAGAATCTAAATCAACCTAGAGAAAAAATGAATAGTTTATTTTCGTTTGTTTTGGTGTAATTTGACATACTTTAAATTCTCGTGCTTGAAGATGTGTTCGAGCAATTTTTCTTTCATCACTTCTCTTCTGATAATCATCAGTACCATCATCATCATCATCACTATCAGTTGTGGCTGGTTTCTTTTTGACGGAACGAAGATTTTCTATTCGATCACTTGCTTTCTTTTCATATTCTCGTACATCCCATCGACGACGATGATCATCACATCGCTAAATTAACAAAAGGAAAAGATTAATACAGTTAATTTAAAAATATTTCTTTACTTACAACACCAGGAAGAGACATAACTAAACGAAATAATATCTACTTTGTGTAGTCTTCTTTCGAAATATTCAGTAAATGTATGTTATTTTTGCGAATATTCCAATTGGTTAAAAATAGCCATTATGAATTATCTATCTATGATAGTAAAAAAAAGAAATTCAATGAAAATATTGACTTTTATTATATTTTCGAATAATAATCAATGAAAACTAGATTTTGATTTTTAGTTATAGTTTTTTAATAATACTACTGACTCATACCGACATCTTTTCTTTAAAAAATTAAACATTAGAATGACTAAAACTATACTTTTTATTAGTCTTCACTTTTTCCTTTAAATTTGAATATTTATCTAAAGTAAATATCATATTATTGGAATAATTTCCAGACTAATTATTATTCTACATTGCTCTTGATAATCAATCAATCATACGTCTTGAAAATATTGACTAATGATTCACTCATTCCATATATAAAAAAAAAGTAATCCTGACATTTTTCGTTCTTTTGAATAGAGGAAAAAAAACCCACGTTAACATGTTTATCTTTGATAAATGTCAACATAAGAAAAAGAAAAAGACAAAGAAAAATTATCTATCTAGACTAATTAAGTTTCTCTTGCATAATCAATCGAATAAAGTCAACATAACTTATCTTTTTTCTATTTACATAAAGATTTTGAGCTTTGCCTCTTCACATTTAACTTATCTTTCTTCTTCTTCTTCTTCTTTTTACTTATATATGTTCATTTTATTTAAAGATGGAGATCGATTCAGCCGTGCGACAACGTTTGACAAACGCCAATCAAATACATTTACTTGCTTATTGGTCCGAATTGAACGACGAACAACGTCAAATACTTTTACGTGACATCAATGAAGTCGATTTTGAACGTGTTAATCAAGCGTATGATGCTATCAAACAAGAATTATTAACAGAAACTAATGGTCAAACAAAAACTGAAACACCACAAGTTATTGATGATATTATGGAACCAATTCCTGATCATATGGCTGGATCGATCAATGAAGCAAGCAAGGAACAACTTGATACCTATCGACAACAAGGTTTAAAAGCTGTTTCTGAAAGTAATGTCTGCGTTTTATTACTCGCTGGTGGACAAGGAACTCGTCTTGGTATGATATTTATCGTTTTCTTTTGAAATTTGTTCTTATTGTCAGTTATATAGGTGTTGATTATCCAAAAGGCATGTTTGATGTAGATTTACCATCAAAAAAATCTCTTTATCAAATACAAGCCGAACGTATTCGAAGACTCGAACAACTTGCTAATGAACAATATAATACACATAATGCAACCATTACATGGTAAACATGATTATATTTAATATATATACAGAAAACAATATCTAAACATCTTCTAGGTTTATTTTAACAAGTGAACATACTCAAGAACAAACAGAAAAATACTTTCGTTCTCATAATTGTTTTGGTTTAAAACGTGAAAATATAATCTTCTTTGAGCAACATACATTACCAGCATTAGATTTACAAGGAAAAATTTTACTTGAAGAAAAGTATAAATTAACAAAAGCAGCTGATGGAAATGGCGGCTTATATCGTGCATTAAAAACTCGTGGAGTTTTAGATGAAATGAAAAAGCGTCATATTAAATATGTACACGTTTATGGTGTAGATAATATTTTGGTTCGTTTAGCTGATCCAATTTTTATTGGTTTTTGTTTAGAAAAAAATGCGGATTGTGCTGCAAAAGTAAAATGATTTTAGTTTTTTCGTTGTTTATATTAAATTTATTTCTTAGGTTGTAAAAAAAACAATTCCAACTGAAGCTGTTGGTGTTATTTGTAAAGTTGGTGAACGTTTTCAAGTTGTTGAATATTCTGAAATCTTAGAACAAACAGCACATCGAAAAAAATCGGATAATAGTGATGAATTAGTATTTAATGCGGGCAATATATGCAATCATTTTTTTACTGTGGATTTTCTTCAAGATGTTTGCCAGTAAAAGAATATTTTCTTCATTATCATTTATGATTATTTTTTTTCGCATTTAGAAAACATGAAAATGAACTTCGCTATCATATAGCAAAGAAAAAAATTCCAGCTATTGATAATAATGGTGTACATGTTAGTAAACCAACACAAATCAATGGAATTAAATTAGAAAAATTTGTTTTTGATGTTTTCCCATTTTCAAAGTAAGTTCCTCGTCCATTAATACATGTTTAAATGTACTAATTTTCATATTTGAAAAGTTCTAACTCCAACGAATGTTTCTCTATCGAAAATAGTAGTTTCTCATAAAACTAACATGCGATCATATTTCATTAATTATAACGTAGATTACAGTAGACTAAAATCTTTTAACTCCAATTGGATAGATAGGTTAACTATCAATGGAAAAAAATTTGAAGAACGATTATCATGTCCAAATAGAAGAATTCTATTACCAGTATACAATGAATGTAAACAGTTAGACTGAAGTAGAATTATAAAAAATATTATTTAGAATTCGATATATTATATTCTTTGTTTTTATTTTTTGTATTAGAACTTTTGCAGTTTGGGAAGTATGTCGTGAAGATGAATTTTCGCCATTAAAAAATTCTTCAGGTGCAAAGGATACAGCAATAACTTGTCGACGAGATTTAATGCTTCAACATGTTCGTTGGCTTCAACAATCTGGTGCTCATTTACCATCTGATATAGAAAAACATATGTATATATATAAAGAATTATTTCATATGATCAATTTAATTGAAATCATCTTTTTTTAGAGAAACAGTTGGAAAAACTTGTGAAATTTCACCACTTGTTTCATATGCTGGAGAAGTAATAAATTCATTTTTAAATTTTCTATATAGATTATTTTTTTGTCTTTATTCTAGAATCTTGAATATCTTAAAGGTCAGAAACTTGAATTACCAATATCTATTGACAAAAAGAATGATAAACAAGAGGTAAATATTCTTTATTTTAATTGTATTTATTTATTTTTCTTTATAGCCTGATATTGATTTACCTAAAAAATTAACTCTAACAAATGGTATTAAACCAATATCAATACAAACAAACGGAATTCATCATTAAATTCTCATATGAATGGTTTTTTCTTCGACAATTATCGCATTTTGTTTTTCTTCATACATATATATTCATATTTAAAGAACATAACCAATTTGTACTGCTCAAGTGATTGGTAGTGTGTTTTTCTTTGGGGTTTCTATATTCTCTTTTTATGTGATATATTTATTTACAATGAAGTTATTGTTTCTGTTTTTTCGAAGGGAAATCGTTAATGAGAATAATCATATGCAACTAATAAAATATTTAATACATAAATAGAAAAATATTTCATATGAGACATTTATTTTTGATGATGTTGATAACATAATTGTTGTTGTATTAAGAATTAATGTTGAACTTATTTCATTTCTAAATGAAAATAATTCAAAACAAAAAGATATATATTCTATTAGACATACGATGTTTGTAAATCTTCAAATAATGTTTCCATTTTAATCGAACTGCAAATAGAAATAAGATAAAGTCTTATCTATGATGTATTTCAAGGCGATTTTTTTTGTTAATAAAAGATAATGTTATCAACTTACGTTTCTTCGGTTGTTGTAGTGGTAGTAGTTGTAGTACTCATAAGTACATTAGGTATTAAATTATCTTCGCCATAAACATGTTTCAATATTTCATATCGGTCACAAAGACCACAAAGACGAGGACATTCTAAAGGAACATCAACAGCAACGCATGATATTGATGAATGATAAGGACATTGAGGTAGTTTCGAACAATTCACTAAAATAAAATTCTCATTTTTTGTACCAATTATTATTCAATTAAATTACATTTTTCACAGTATGAGCCACTTGCATATGAAGAACATTGACATTCGCATGTATTTAAATTAAGAGTACCATTATATAAGCAGACTTTACCATGACAATCTAAATTAGCAAGGAAATTTGTAACTTCGAAGAATAAATAATATTATTACCATGTAACGGATGATCTTTAATGCCTTGCCTATATGCTGCATGATAATTACTATTCAATAATCTAGAATATATCTATTTATTTATATAATTCTTTAGTATTCTTATTTACCCTGTAATATAGTTACAAACATAGAAATTCCATGAGATATTATAAGATCCAAAAGGAGGACAAATTACTGCTCCACAACCAATCAATACGGATGAATGCCAAATCATCTGTATTAAAAAGATTAATAACGTTGTAAATTATTTCTTTATAATTTATTTTACTTGTGCATAACGACTAAACAGATTTGTTGATGGAAAAGCATGACAATAATATTCTTTCTCTTCAATCCATCCTTCTATAACTTCAGTCCAATTTTCATAGCCTATCGCTAAATTTTGTCCAGTTGATAATGGAATTCCTTTAATTTTCTTACATGAAAAATATTCGATATATTTTGCTATAACTTACTTGGTATACTACGTTGATTCATTTTATCATGTTCAAATACACATGTACGAGCATGTCTTAAAGCAATTTCAGCTAAGTCATCATTCCAATACTATAATATTGTTCAATATTGAATAATTAATGTTAAAATAAAATAAATAACTATACCATTTTTTCAAGATTAGTACCATGTGTACGACGTCGTTCATAATTATGTTTATTAATAATGTATTCACGTTCTGATAAAGTAACACGTTGTTCAATAACATTTGAAAATGGTTGAGAACAAAATGAATGATTTGGATCAATTATACGATATTCAAGTGGACATGAATCTACATAAACTGCAATATTTCTATTGAAAAAACAATTTTCCTTATTTTATTACCGTATACTTTTAGAAAATTATATAGTAAGAAGAATACGAAGAACATTTTGTATAAAAATCGAATGAATCGTATACTATCAAAGTTAATCCACTGATGATTCTTATGTTATCAATATCACGTATATACATTATGTTATAAGACGACATGTTTTCATAATATAGTATTTTGTTTACTATAATAATGTGCTATCAAAATATATAATCATAATCTTTATTACATTGATCGAAAGAATGAGATTTGTTCCAAGTTAGATGAAATCAGAATATTCTCTTTCTTTTGATATCCCATCGAGAATAATATTTATTATCTGATACAATAAAAGACATCGAAAGTCTATCATATAGTTCACAAATATATAATATGTGATCATGCTTGATATAGAAAAAAGAATGAAGACTTCCCATCTTATTTTTTTATAGGATTGCATAAAGCAAAATGAATAGATATCGAGTTAAATAAGAAGAGTGCTTATATTATATGAGAACGGAAAATATCCGTATGCTTTTTTACAGCTTATAAAGAAAAAAATCCAAATATAAATAAAATTTTGACTAGGAATAATAAAAGAAAATAGATGAATATATAACAAATATGTTCGTTTTAGGAATTTTTGATTGATGCTGATTGATTTTTTGACTTTCGATGTCGATTTATTGGTAATGGAAGTTTACTTGGCCGATGTTTTAGTGATGAACTTGTTGATACAAATGAATTCTCCGAAAGAATACTATCACGACTTGATGTACGACTCAATGTTGATGTTGCTGGTGTATACATTGTAATTGCTATTGGTATTAAAGATTGTTTTGTTTCCGAATCACCTAATTATTTATTTAAATTGAAATAATTTTCAGAAATAATCTATCTTACTAGAAACACGTGGGGATACGGATAGATCATCAGCTGACATGGATAGATCACCATTTGATAATGAAGTTGATTGTTGTTGTTGTTGTTGTTTTAAAGAATATGTTGATGATGTTCGTCGACATTTATCTTTTATAGGCTTAATAAAAAAAAGAAATTATTTAATTAATCATTAGAACAAAATAAAACTTACTCGAATAGGTGTTACTGATGGTGATTTTTTTAATAATGATCCAGTAGATTGTTGTTGTTGAGGAAAAAGATATGTTGGTCGACGAATGTTAACAAATCGTTGTTTGAATAATGTCATTGTTTGAGCAACACCATCACGTAAAGGATAATTTTGTGAATTTAATTCATAATTTGTACGACCTTTAGCTAAAAAGATAAATAAAATTAATATATATTACTAAAAACAAAACTATACACATAAAGACATTTATGACAAATATACGATATATAAAAGCTTTGTTAGACATTATTACATTAAGAAGCAGAGTAGACAAAACAGTTTTTTAGTAGAAGATGATAAATACATTAGAATAGAAAGTACCTTCGGCGATAGTCGTTAAAAATCGATTATAGATGTGCATTCCTGTATACAAGAAATTTTTAATAATAAAAATTCTTCAAAGATAGAAGTCGCTGTGGGATTACAATAGTCTAGATAGCAAGCTGAGGGTGAATTATTATTTTATCTCATATACGATCGTTGTATTATACATTTGTGACTATCTTCATGCAGTGCGCTATGTTAATAGTTTTTGGAATTGTAGAAGAAACTAGGTTTTTTCTTTTTATTGAAATGTCTGTACTTGAATATACTTCGATAGTCATCTATGCGATCGAGCAGTAGGAATTAGACATGACCCAAACCCAAACTCAGTACCCAAATTCAAACTCATATACCCAAACCCAAACTCACCAAACTCAAATAGTTTGGGTTTGGGTCATGTCTAGCAGGAATATTAAAATTCGAATAGCAGTGTATGAGTTATACCCTTTAAATGCTGACTTCTTTATAAGTTAAGCTCATGACTCGATTTACTTCTAATTGTTAATTATTTCTATTTTATCAAGATTTCAGCATAAGTCTGTACTCTAGAGTCCTTCAAATGCTCTTGTACGATAAATCACACGTTTTTTTCTATTACCTCGACATGGATCATGTCGAACAAGAAATTCATCAAGTGCCGTCCATCCTCCACCAACTCGAACCATGACTGTCGAACGAAGTATTCGAACAAGACGAAGACTTTGTGATCCACCAAACTAGAAAATAAACATATTTCGTTTATTTTGCTAGAGAAAAAAAACTTACTCGATATCGTCCTTCAGCTATTTGTTGTACATCATATTTATTTGAACATTGACAAAGAGATGTTTGTCGATGAACTTCACTTTTAATTCGATCAATATCTGCTACTACTGGTCTTACAATCTATTTTAATAATATTATTTAGAAAAAAAATAAGTCAATTAGAAAATTCTATTTACTTTTTTTGTTTCTTGAAAAACTTTTTCTAATTCTTTTCTTCTTTCATTTGTACGTGTAAGAATTTTTTGCCAACGTATTTGTATTGATGTAAGAGAATTTTTTATTGAATTTGAATCGATTTTTAAACGTATTGCTAATTTATTTAAATCATTAAATTGTTCTTTCGATGTTTCCAATTGATTTTGAAATGTTTTATATTCATTCATTTGTTTTAATAATGTTGGATATAAACCAAAACGACGTTGAATTGGTTTTTGTGTATTTAAATAACGTTCATTTTCACTTAATTGTTCAGCAAATTTTTGTAATGATTTATGAAAAAATTCAATGGAATTTTTTAAATCAAGTAATTCTTCACTTTTGGTTAATGTTCGTTGTTTGATATCGATCAAATGTTCTAAGGAAGGGAAAAAAAGATTTATTTTTTTTTTAAGAATTTTTATTTTACTTTTTAATTCATTGTTAGAATTAGGAAATTCATCATGAATACGTTCTTCAATATATTCTAAACATTGAATAAGTACAGAAAAATTTGTATTTATTGTACTTTCATTGATTTGTTTATTAATCAATTGAAGTTCATGAAAAATTTGATCATGTAATTTTTGTTTTAATTTCATTTGTTCTAAATGATTTTCAAAGAAATTATATTTTTCAGTTGTTTGTTTATGTAATTCTTCCCATCGAGTATTTATTGATAAAACCGTTTGTTTATTTTCATAATCCGTATGTTTTAATTGTTCAATATCATATGAAATTAATTCAATATCATTTAAAAGAATACGAAATTTAGCAATTAATATTTCGATTTGTTTCACGTCAGTTAGATTAATATCAGAAGATGTTTGATTTAGAAGAGATAATTTTAATGTACAAGTATCTAATGATTGAGTTATATCTGTAATAACATCACCAATACGATTTTGACGAAGAGCAGTTTCATAGGTAAGTGTTTTACTGAAATAGAAAATTTATGTAATATTTATACTCTTACAATATGTTTGACTTTTATTAGAAGTCACATACACAATATATTATCTGTTCTGCCTCTGTTACGGTCTAATCATTTGTTACATAGTGCGATGCTTCTCATTAAAACAATCAGGATAGAAAGTTTTAATTTCCTTGATTTTTTTTGAAGCAGCAAGTTTACGCTTTGAACTAGGTTTTAGATTTTCGAATAGTATATCAAAGAGTAAAGATTGTACAAGCAGTGTTTCATCTTGGTTTCGTTTTTCAAATGTGCGAATCGGAATTTAGGGAGAGTGATATTCATCCAGCGCTCGCCCGGACTATTTCAAAATATACAGATACTATATTTTTTCGGATGGGCGGCACCCACCCAACCGGATAAAACACTGCGTACAAGACTTTCATAAAATGATAGTATAATCATATAACTTCCAATTTACTCCATCACCAGTAACTTCTTCGTCAAAACTCGATATCAGTTGTTTCTTCAAATGACATGTGAGCTATTCTAAAACTTCAATTACTTCCGTATATAAAAGAACGGAGAAGTGAAACGTTAGAGATTCTTTACATGCCCATCAGAAATAACTAATTGTATGATGACACCAGAAAGAGAGTGATGAAGATTATGAAGAGTAATTTTACAATTTTCACAGAAATATGTTTTCTTTACAATATTCACATATATTTTATCTAATAAACTCAAAATATAAAATAAATCGAATGAAATTATTACTAAAACTTAACTTGATATTTTTTAAAGATGATTATGCTATAGTAGATTAAGTGTCTATCTCAATTATATAATTCTTAGTATTAAAATATGCAAATCGATAAGAACTGTCATTGTGTCTAATTTATTAATTAACTCGTCTGATATTGATAAAATGTTTTATTGACAGTAGACAAAGAAATTATCTCTTATTATCAATTACCGTCAAAAACTGATATATATTGTTATTTAACCTTCGAATCTAGACGGTAGAAGGTTCTTCATAAGTAAGAATCTTTAACTTACTGTTCTTGCATTTTATCATTTAATTGTAACCATTTCGAGTCCATTTGTAATAATTGTTCTTCAACAAGATGATGTTTATCTTTAGTTATATGTTCATTTTGTTGTTCAATATCTGTATAATCTTGTTTTAAATTAATAAGATCAATATATTTATCATCTAAATGTTCTTTAAACATTCGAATTTGTTCAAAATCATTATTATTTTCTATATTTGTTTTTTCATTTAACCATGTTGAAACATTATCTAATTTTGAATTAAATTCAATTGATTTTTTCATAGCTTGGGATAAATCATTTTGACAAGTATTTAAATCTATTTGTACATGATTCCATTGTTGTTCTACATCATATATAGAACGTTTAATATCTTCTGTATCTTGTTGATTATCCGAAATTAATGTTAATAATTGTAAACTATGTTTTTGTAAAAAATCTTGAAATTTTATTTTATAATTAGAAAAATCATCGATTAATTGATTATATTTTTCTTGTTCATGTTTAATATATTCACATGATGTTGAACATGGATAGATTTGTTTTAATTTTGTTGATAGATGATTAAGCAATGTAAAAAGTTGATTATGTTCAGACCAAAATATATTTGTACATGCTTGAATTAAAAGAAGATTTTCTTCACGTAAATCATTTGCTTGTTTCATTGTTAACCAATGTTTATTTAAAAATGATAGTTTATCTTCCAAACCTATATATGCAAGATAGAAATATGTTAGACAAATTTTTCTAGATTATTTTAAAATATGAGTATAATAAGTAGGGAGAACAGATAAATTATAGAAACAGGGTCGTTTTATGAATGAATTATAAAAAGTATGGGGGACGTTACGCCATTGATTACAAGATCATGTAGATCTGATGGCCTTTGAATATATCTTCAGTCTTAGGCGATCTCTAGAAGATTTTAATTTTCTACATTGAAATGAAGTTGAAAATGACTTTCAATGGTCAAATTCTGACTCATATTTGAACCCTTCTGAGGAAATAATTTTTTATTCTCGTATGAAAATATAGTAATGAACCGAAAAGGTTTTGCTTAACTCTTTCAGGCCCATGTTTCAATCTATGGACGAAATCTCTTTAAAACTTGATATTTTGTATACGCACTGGGTATTATCAACGCTCTAAAAAATTATTTCAAGTCATTTTCAACTTTTAGCCGTACCCTACCGAAATGATGAGAAATATTTTAGCCACTTCCTTGGAGGTGTATGGACGGGAGACAAAAACTGACTCAGTACCCTCACCAGGGTTCTTAATCTTACATAAACATGTGCGTCAAAGTCTCTTATATGTCCTAGTGAAAGCCACACTTCGTTATCGATCTGCATTCGTCAGTTATTAGGAATTTATCAAATTTTAAAAAAGTGAGGCTTATAAGCTCCCCTAGTATTTAAAGGGTTAATATGTTAATAAAAGGTTAAATATTACGATTAAAAATTGCGGCAAAATTATTTTATGAATATTTATAAGAATGGTTAGTAGAGCCCGTCGGATCCAGGTATCGAAGCTTTTATTGACCAGGTTCGGATCGAAAGAGATATGTTATCAACATAGTATTTTTTTGAATTTCTTTAATTTTTTATTCATTCCATTCAAAACGTTTTGAATTTATTTATAAAAATAACAGCAAACTATTTTCGAAGCAAATATTAGATTTTAAGTAGAAAAATTTACCGAGTCTAAAAGTGCAGTTTAAGTTCGGACTAGTGCTCATTGAGATTGGGTCCGACCTAGACCCGGACTTGGCTTCGGGTCCAAAAAACCCTAGACCTGACGGGCTATGACGGCTAGTTTAATTCTAAACTTAGGTATCTGTCAGTTTCAATTCAAAGAATCAGAACTAGTTAATTATGTAATTTCGATATTAACAAAAAATTAACCTTTGATAGTATTTATATCTGTTTCATTTGTCATTGTACATTTAAATTGTTCGATATTTGAATGTAATTGTTCAAGAGAAATTTTTCGTTTTTCTAATTCATTTTTCACAACAGCATTATCAACAAATTGTTCAGTTAAACGATTTGGTTGAATTGATATTGTATCACTTGTTGATGATATTAATAATTCTGATAATTCATTCATAGATAAATCTATTTCATCCATTTGTTGACGTAGATCATCAGTAGATTGCAATGTTGTTCTTATCGATGAAATCTAAATAATCAAAGAATAAATTTTTCAAGTTTTTATATTATTGTTTATACATTATCTCTGATGATTGGAATAGGTTGATATGGATTATTAATATTATCTAAACGAACTTTAATTCTCGTTATTAAATTATCATAATTTCGACTAATTGTGTCTAATACACGTTCAACTTGATTTTCATTTGAATCAGTTCCTAAACTTTGTAATAAAAGTTCTCCTTTTTGATTCAATAATTCAATTTGTTCATAAAGTTTTTCTATATCATTATGAAAAGTATTCAATTCATTATCTGGAATCGTTTCGAGTTGTATCTGTTTTTCATTGAGCAAAGCCATGAAATGATTAGTTAATTGATAAAATTCACCTAAATCTTCTTGATGTAATTGAATATAATCAATTGTATCAAGAACATATTCCACATATTCACACCAAGTTTTATCTAATGAAAAGAAAAACGTACACATAAATCGAGAAAACAAAAAAATCGTTTTTTACCAATTGATTCAATTTCATTTGAAATAGAATCAGTATCAATATATCGTTGAGCAGTATCAATTAGGATTAAACCATTATTTTTATATTCATCAATAGTTGATGACATTGATTTAAGTTCATTGGCAATGTTCTATTTAAAATAAATCATAATTTTTACAAAAATATCAATTCAAAACAAATTTACTTTATATTTTTGTAATAGATTTTCAATTTTTTGATCATCTAATGAAAGTATTATATTTTCATTTAATACAATTAATTCTTTTGCTTTTTCAATTGAATTTTCAGCTATTTGTTTTGATATTTGATAATTATTTGTTTGATGTTGAATATTTTCTAATATTTTTATAGATTCAAGAATACGTTGTTTTATTAATAGATAATATTCGATTAATTCATTTGTTTGTTTTTCAAATATTAATGATAAATTTGAATCATTTCGTGGTTTAGATAATTTTAAGTGTTCATATATATCTAATAAATTTGCTGAGGAATAAAATTCAACTAATTGTTTATTTATAAATTTTAATTGTTCAATAGGTAATGTGGAATGTTCATGTAATAATTGTTCACAAGAATCTATTGTTAATTGTTGTTTTAATAAACGATCTGTTGTTAATAACCATTCTTGTATATCATTTCTCATTAATTCATATTCATCATAAAGACTTTGTCGATTTTGTAGAATTAATTTTAAATCATTTTGAAATCGTTCATATTGATTTTTATATTCATTAACTTGATTTTTATGTTCAATTATTTCATTTTCATCTGTAATATTGTTTGTTTGCAATAATTCTTCTATTAATTTATTATATGATGTATGATCTAGAATTAAATCTTGATCATTATTTAATAATAATTGTAATGCAGAAAAATTTATATCATCATTTTGTTCGATTTGTTCGGTATAAAGACGTAAATTTTTCGAATAAGTATCAATTAAATAGGCATGTTCAAGATGAAATTCATTTAAATGTGTACACAAATGATTAATCTGTTCATTGTATTGTTGACTATGTTCATTTAATGATTGAAAATGTTGTTCGATTAATTTTAAAGAATGTTTATCGTCTCTATCTAATAAATTTTCAAGATTAATTGTTGTATTTATATCGGAATCGAATGCATAACGACGTGTACGTAGTTGTGCATGGAATTGACGAAAACTTATAATTTGTTCATCAAGTTTTGAACGTTTCAATGAGAATGGTTGCGAATGAAAATTATTTTCTAATGAATTTGTTAACCAATTATATAATTCATCAATATTTTGTTTTATTGTTTGACGTTCATGTAGAAAACGTTGAATTAATTCTAAATGATTCATTAAACGTTTTTGACTATCATCATAACGTTGTGTATGCGAATCAAGTAAAGTGTAAAGCTGAAAAAAAAAGAAAACACAAGTGTGATTTTTATATTAATAACGTGTTCGTTGTTTTTCCGTGTGTTGTAGGAAGAATACAAAACAACATATTATGATCTTCGTGACGTTCTCTTTTTCTGTTTCTCTTCGAGACAAAAATTATAGTTTCTATGTAAGTGTAAGGTTTTTCTCGTTCTGTGTTTTTTTCTTTAGAATGGAACATAGAAAAGACATAAAGAAAAAAAAAAGGACAGAACTCCTACGATTAACAAACTGCGTACTATTGTTATTTTCGCAGACTTCAACTATTACTCACATGTTCTTTTATTTGATTCATAATATGATTATTTGATGTGATGACTATTGAAGGTGAAGCTGGCTCATGTATTGCTAACATACGTAATTTATCTAAATGCTGTTGAACATTTAAGAGAAGAATTTGTAATGTATCATCATTCTAATAAAAACAGAAAATGTTTATTTAAAAAGAGTTTAATACGATGTGTACTTTTTGTTCTTTTTCATTGATAGTTAAATGTTGATCGAATTCATTGATTGATTTAAGAAATTCTTTATCGAAATTATTAACTTCATTGAATAGACCAATTGAACGTTCACATTGATCAGATATATGTTTACAACGTTTAAGAAAATCTGAATAAGTTTTTGATAAAATTCTATAACGTTGTTGAAATTCTTGAAAAATATTTTCCGATTTTCCATTATCAGTATTATCAATTGCTTGTTGAAAATCTTGTATTATAACATGAATTGTTTGTAAATATTCTTGTAAAGATTGAAGATCATTTTGTAAATGAATTCCTGTATTTAAAATATTCTTTAAATTATCATTATCAACATTTAATGTTGATAATTGTAAAGATTTTTGAATTTCATTCTCATTTTCTTCAATCCATTCCATTAAATAAATATATTTCATATTAAATTGATCGATATTAGTAATAAATCGTTCAATAATATTGCTTAAACCATTATTGATATCAGAAATCTTAAATAGAAAATATGATGTACATTCAAAACATTAGACTTAGTTCAATTATAAATTCGGGGCGGATCCAAGAAATCCATGAGGGGGTGACGGTTCATAGAAAAAAAGTGAAAAGTAGTATTCTTTTTTAAGAGAAAGACCCTATAGTATTCTACCTGTTTTCAGTATTTGTCGGAATATCTATTTTCGAGGGGGTGGCAGTCGCCGGTTCACCGAATAGCTAGATCCGCCCCTGATTATAAATTATCTTCGTATAAAGTAAATTTGCATACTCATTTTTTTAATTTGTAGTGATATAAAGTATAGAACTATATTTTTTGTTTCTTTACGAGATATGACTATCTGGTAAGAAGTTTTGAAGAATTGATTAGGATTGGCGGATCTAAGATTTTGAAAGAGAGGGGTAGTTTCGGCTTAAAAACTATTTTTGAGTTCGATCGAAATAGTGTGAACCTATTTTCTCATTCCTTTTTGCTGTAAAAAAACAAAAACAATTTCTGAAGGGAGGGGAGAGCGATCGTCTCCTTCTAAATCCGCCACTGTTGATTAGATTATCGGTGTAGCGTTGATACAAAATATTAGCACGTTTGAGGGTCAGTGTAGGTGTAGATGAGGCCCATACTCTATTATTCGACATTACTAGGGACGAATCGATCTAGATATTCTAATAAATGACATTTGCCGTAGTGTTTATTACATTTAAATATTGTTATGTAGGGAGAAAACCTCGTTTAGAAACAAGATCTTACCGTTTATTACTAATCTACTTAAATTTGGAATTTAGTTTCCTATTAACAAGAAATGAGTTATTAACTAAATAAAACACTTACTTCAACTCTTTTTTCTTCAAGATCTGTACTTAATATTGTTAATTGAGGGTTCATACCCTTCGTTCGTTCAATAAGATTATCCATAGTTAATTTTTCTTGTTCAATTTCTAAATGTAATACCTAAAGAGAATAGAAATAGTTTTACAAAAACTTTTGTTTTAAATTTATTTTTTATACTTTAATATGTTTAACATTAGTTCGAAGTTGATCAAGATTTTCTGTTAAATAAACATATTGATTTAATTGATTATGTAATGAAGTTAAACGGCCAGCAATATTATGTATATCCAAAATCAAACGATTTTCATTATTCTAAATAAAATATGAATTATAAATAATGTTTTGTTTTTTGTTTTTGAAATATAAAACAAATTTCAATGATATTAACACAGAAAAAGCATGCAGAAAACGAGCAGCAGCAGCAGCATCAAGCAAATATAGATTTTTTTTCTATTTATTTTACGTGAGATTCAAATTTGTTGGAACGGATGAATAGTCATCTGAGCAGAATAGATAGATTAAAAGAATAATGTATATTTTTATTATATACATACAATAGTCAATTGATGATCAAGAAATTTACCTGTGCTTTTGTATTAGCTTCCGATAAACGTAATAAATTATTTTCTTTATTAATAATATATTTAATTGGTGTTGGTAAAATATCATATAATATTTCATAATTATGTTCAATAAATTCATTTGAATCTTGTTCCTGAAATATGTAATAGAACACAAATGATAGATTATGAAACAAAGATGCACACACACAAATATAAAGAATAATACATATAACATGCGAGAATATAATACTAGGTTAAATATACATTCTACATATATTATAAGATATAAATCGAGACAAGAGGAAAAGAATTTGTTATTAAATAGCAACTAGAAATAGTGTTAATATGATGTAATCAAGAAGTGACCTATCAAAATATGAAACACACGTGAAGAAATTTCCTAAAGCGCTTATTACTCACACACACACACATTTTACAAAAAGAAATCTATATAACTAATATGGTAGTTAGTAAAACTAATAAAACTTTTTGTTCTATTTAATTTTCTACATAATGTCTGATTACGAAAACTAATAAATTAAGGAATAATCATGCAGTTTTCGAATTCTTTTAACTACGAACTAGTAAGGACAATTTTATTAATAAATAAATATTTCCGTTCGCATACTCTCCTAGTCACAGGTTGAACTATTCAATTGTTTATATCCCATAATACTATTGGTATCCAATGAGATCATTCTCATATTTATGAATCGTTCCCAAATCAAATATTTTATAGTTTTTTCTTTCAGATAATATCAAACATTGTCATTGTTTTCATATACATTATATTTTAAATCTTTCTCTATCTTCTTGTCTCTATTTTTTCAAGACAAAGAAAAAAAACGAAAACGAGAAAAAACACAGTGTACAATTGTAATAAAAGAGTGAAGCGGTAGAGCATATATGTATATACTAAAAAAAAAGGCTCTCTAGGTGGGTTGATTTCTTTTTGTTTTTTTTTTGATCTAATACTAGCACAAGTTAGAAACAAAAACAAAATAAACGTTTTTTTACACAAACAAAACAATACACAAGTGATAAAGTTTTGTTCTGTACATATAACAAAGAAGAATAATAATAATGATAATAATCATAGTAACAACAAATGTAGAGATTCCTAATTAATATTTATGTCGAAGTTCATTGTACGAAAATAGATAATGCAAGAGGAGAAGAAGAAGAATATGTTGGAACAAGTGTTAATAAATAAAAGTAATAAGAAAGAAAAAACATCAAATTAAAAGATTCAATTTGATGATAGTCATTAGAAGAAGGACGGACGATGGATGCCAATGAACTCACCTAGAATAGAGAAAGAGATAAATACGTTTTTTTTTGTCCTATAAATCATGCAAGAAATAATCAAAATAAGTATTTCCAAGTTTTACTTACATTTTCTTTTTTTGAAATACTTTTTAATACATTCACACCCAGATAGATAAGATTTACATACAACAAACATGCATCATATATATATATAGAAAAACATATATGTATTTGATTTATCTCACCTTGGGTATTACTGTTGATAAAGAAGATGTTGTTTCATCTAAAAAATAAAGACTTGATTAATAGTAATATTATGTATTGGGAAATAATTACTTTTTTGTTGGAAACCAGATGATGTTTGTCCTCCTTGTGATCGATTCGATGATGTATTACTTTGTTGTACTCGACTTGTTGAACTTGAATAAAATGTATTTCCACCACCATTACGTTTTGAACTACCTCCACCATTTCCATATGTATCATCATCATCATTATGACCATTTTTCCATCCTGTTTTCCAATCATCGTCTCGACATTTTCCTGTTGGACTTGAACCAGTTCGTCTTCTTATATTACGTTTTAAATCAAGTGTATCATCAATACTTAATGGACTAATAGCTCGTGTTCGAGATTTAATACGATGCCAACCAGCGTTAACACCACCACCACCACCACCGCTACCATGAGAATCTTCATCAGCTGAATCTGGTGCACTATTATAATCATAATGTAATGAACTTTTAACTAATGAATGTCTTCGATGTTTTCTTGATGTTATTTTAGCAGCAACTGTTTCATGATCAGCTTTAATTGGTACTAATGGTGCACCAACAATAGCAACAATACCATGACGTATAGCTTCACGTACAGAATATTGTGTATGTGAATGTGAATCATAGATTAAACCTGTTTCACCATCAACTAAACCACGTTCAATAGCATCTTGTATTGAATATTCTCGACTAGTTTTTGGATCAAATAATTTCATACGATTATTATCAAGTAAATTTTTTCGTATTGCTTTTTCAAAATCAACGGATTCATTTTGTAATGGAAGAAATACTTCACCAGCATTAACATCAAATTGTGAAAATAATTTTCGATGATTAAATGCTAATTCTAATGTTGTTATTGTTTTATTCGAATATGAATCAATTACTTGTCCTTCATGATCAATTCGAATACCATCTAATGCATCTTTTAATGTCATATAACGTCCACTTGTTGGATGTTCAATAATTGTACTTTGTCCATCAATTAAACCACGTTGTATAGCTTCTTTTAAATGTAATTGTTCACCACTATGTGGATGTTTATAAAGGCCTGTTCGAAGATTAAGTAAACCACAACGTATAGCATCTTCAACATTCATACGATGTAATTTTGATTCAACTAATCGTGCACGATATAAACTTATTTTAGGTGGATTAAGTTTACCACCATCACGACGATTTATTAAACCAAGTGAAAATGCATCATAAAGAGTTATAGGTCCTTGTTCACTATCAGCAAATGCCATGCCATTTACATGTATATGACCACGTTCAATAGCTTCCATTAATGTCATATAATGTTCAGTTGCTGGATCTCGGAATGTACCTGAAATGAATTTATATATTACTTCATGTATACAAAAACAAAAAGAATTGAATTTAGTTTTTAACTGGTAAACTATACATTTATGAATTGTTTAAGAAAGAGATGGAATGTGGTCAGACCCCTCGATGTGCTGTTGTCTAGCCTCTGATACTAAGGTTTCTGGCAAAGCGCAAAACATCTGCTGAGTCTGACAGCAACGAAGAGTAATCATCAGATCTGGTAGGTAGTGTATACTCTCTGTTAAATCTAGCAAAGCAGATACTGTAAAGATAAGTTGCCTTAGTACTATCTGTATTGAATTTATTTACCTGTTTCAGCTACATAAAAACCAAGTCGAATAGCATTTTGCATTGATAAACCTAATGGTTTTCGTTCAACATGTTCACTTATTTCAGCTTCAATTAAATTTCTATTAATAGCTTCTTGAATAGTCATTGATTCACCCGTTGAAAAATCTGTATAAGTTTTTGTTTCGGTATCAATCATTTGATTTTTAACAGCAATAGCACCTGATTCCATACGATCTAATACATTATTACGTACACCATGTATACGATATAAAGTAATACGTTTTTCCGTAATTGTATCAGTTATTAATTCTAAATCATATTCTTCAAATCGTTTTTGACTAACAAGTTCAACATCAAGTAATTTCTTTTCAATAGCTTTATCTAGAGAAAAACAGAAAATTTAATTTTAAATAAAATAATAATGTTTTTTTTTGTTTTGTATTTACCAAGTGGAATTTTAACACCAGATTTACGATCATGATAAATGCCTTGTGCATAATTAAGTATACCGATAGCTTGTGCTTCTAAACCACCAATTTTTTCTAGTGATTCACTATCAACAGCAACACTTTTAACAATAAATTTTTTTATTATTTCTTGTACGGATGATGTTAACATTTCCGTATCTTCTTTTGTTTCAATTATTGTTGCGTAGACTAAACCTTCGTTGATTGCTTCAGCTAATTCATATTGAACATTTGTTACTAAATCACGATAACTACCTAAAAAATAAAAAGTCAAGATGTTTATCTCGAGAACTTCTCTATTCTTTTTTTTTCTTCTTACCTATATCTTTATCTAATATACCCAAATCAATAGCTTCGGATACTTTAATTTCTTTTTGTGTTAATGGATGTATAACTGATGTAATAACATAGGTAGCTGTTTTAGTTGCGATTGTTAATTCATCTTCATCAATTGATATTATTGATGGTGGTCTAACACTATTATCTGACGATGATTCATCATCATTACAACGTATATAACCAGCTTGTATAGCATCATAAATTGTTAATACATCGTTTGTATCAACTTTACGATATTCATTTAATTGTATATCCAAAATACCTTGTTTTAATGCATCACGAGGTAAAATTTTTTTCATATTACGTGTATCATAAACCCATTTAATCGTATATGTTTGTCTATTTATTGTTACTGTTATAGAATCATTTGTTGAATTATATTCTGTAGCACCAATAAATTTTAAATAAATAGCTTCATGTAATGATACTTGAGAATTATTATATGGATTTATATAACGACCATGTACAGCATCTAAAATTTGTTTACGTACAGCTTGTCGTGGAAATATTCGACGTTTAGTTGATGAATCTAATACCCAATGTATCATATAATCAATACCATCAACATGTAGTGGTAGAGATGCTGTATCTGGTTCAATACCCATATAACCTAATTCAACAGCTTCTTCAAATGTATAAGATTTACGATTTAATTTTTCATCAAAAAATAAACGTTGTTTTATATCAACTAAACCACGTTGATATGCAGTTTGTAATGGTAAACGATCACCAGTCATTGTATTCATAACCCATATAACACGATAAGGTTCACCTTTAATCATCATTGTACAATGCCATTGCTCCCATTCTTCTTCTGTCCATGATTGTTGTTCATCAAAATGATATTCATTTGTTTGTTGTTGTTGTGTATTAATAACTGGTGGTGGTGGTGGTTTTGAACGATTATCTGTTATATCAATACATTCTTTTGTTACTGTTGTTTGAGTTGATGTATTATATGGTCGTTGATGATCTTCAATAAATATTTCACCATGATGAATGCGTTGACCTTCACGTTGACGATCATCAATATGAACTGGACGTGGTGGAGGTGCCAATGGTTGTGGACGTGATGCTTGAACAACACGAACCTAAAAAGGAGAAAATTAAATAATTAGATATTTTTCTTTTTAAAGGAAATATAAAAGTCAAACTATAATTAGCATAATTACAGAAATGAAATTTAATCCTTGAATACATAGACAGTAAAAATCTCAAATATCATAAAACATATAGAGTATCATTATTTTTCTGCCATATCATTGGTATCTCGAAATAGATTCTTCTAAATATCTTGTGATCATAAGGAATCTACAATTTCTTTCTATCTCTTCTATTACTAGGAAAATATTAATTAGTTTAAATAATTAATATCACAATAAGCCAATTTATTTCACACATGTTTTTTGTTATTAGGAATAATAATGATAACTAATTCTGATTCTTTTCTATTAATAGTTATCGTTAATATTCATCAAAAATTTCGTAAGAGTTTTAGTATGGTTGTGTAAAAAAAACAAAAGTATCCGGTCTAGATCCCTACTCTTTTCATTTTTTATCCTCAGGCATTGCACTAATCATGTTCTTTTTATGAAAATAACAGGAAGTGTAATAAAATATTGGTATGACTAAGGCAAAATCTCTATATTCAAATTTTTCTTATCTTATAATTCAAACTACTGAAATTATATATTTTAATTAAAAAAGTATTATGAAACATTGAACTTTATCTATTGATTGAATAAAAAAATGTATTACCTCATGCTCACGATGTGAACCATTAATAACAAGATGATCTTTTGGTGGTAATGGTGGTGGCATATATCTATCACTTTCAATAACAATTTCTCTATGTGATGTATGTCGATCTTCTTTAATATCAAATTTCGCTCGACGATTATTATTAATACCATCATCAATAATAACTTCTTCAATATATTCTTGTTTTTGTCTTTCACTTGATTTTGGTCGTACATTATTTGCTGGATGATGGGTCATAATACATTCTCTATCAAATACATTTGTTGTATGTTTTTCGAAAATTTCTTCTTCACGTATTCTATGTTGTTGTTGTTGTTGTTTTGAATGTCGTGGTAAACGTTGAACAGATTCTATTTCTACAACATCTTTTTCACGTTGTAAAATTTCCGATTCATTTATTTCATATGGTGTACGTGGACGTGATTGTGATTCAATACGTATTGATAATTTTGAACGTGAATCATTTGTATTATTTCCATATGGTTCTTGACTTATTATTGCACGACGTTTATCAGTTAATAATTGATGATCTGTATTATTAAATATAATTTGTGATGAAACAGCTTGTACTTGTATAAAACCACGTTTAACAGCATCACCTATATTTATTTCATCACCAGTTAACGGATGAATATAGACACCTTTTTTATGATCAAATAATTTTTGTTGTATACCTATCATAAAAAAGATTTATTATTATATTTTCTTTCTTTTTTCTGTTTCTTCTTACCTTCTTGAAGATTATAAACTTTATCAGTACGTATATCAATAACACCTGTAATTAAATAAAAAACTTGTTCGTGTTGATCACCATAAAATGTTGATGGATGTTGATCACGAAATTTACCGATAATTAAACCTTGTTCATATGCTTCAAGTATTGTCATTTGTTTTTGTGTTACTGAATGATAATATATTGTTATATTTGAATTTAATAAACCTGTTTTAATTGCTTCAGTTACACCTAAACGACGATTGGTAACAGGATCAATAACTTGTTCAATAATTAATGTTTTAATAAAACGTCGAGGATGTTGATCAATTAATTCCGTAAATATTAAACCTTTTTCAATTGCAACACTTATTGGAAGATTTTCACCTGTTAAACTATTTACATAAAAACCTTTGGCATGATCAATAATTCCTTCATCGATAGCTAAACGTATTGGAATTTCTTGACGTGTTTTAGGATGTATAGCACTTTTAAGTGTATATGTTTTTGTTTCTTTAACTGTTCCACGTTTTATATTTGTATTAGTACCTGAATTTTCTTGATTTGTTGTTGATTCAATTGGTAATGGTTGTGCACGTATATGTCCTTGTGCAATAGCTTCTGAGATCGAAAATATTTCATTTGTTTTTCGATTAATATATTGTCCATTTTGTTTATCTAATATACCGATTTGTATAGCTTCTTGAACAGTTAATTCTTTATTATTAATATAATCACGAACACCTAATAAATGATATGATCGTGTTTCACGTATTAATGATGTTGATATAACATATTTATCATTGGGATGATGATGATTATGATTATTTGATGATGATGATTGTTGTGGTTGTTGTTGTTCGACGAGAACAAAACCTTTACTCATAGCATCATCAATTGAAATTGATTCTTGTGTTGCATTATTTAAATATAAACCATGATATGGATCAAGAATTTTCGCACGTATAGCAGCATTTGGATCAATAAATGCATTTGAACAATGATCAAATACACGTGAAATGATAAGTGATTCAGTTTTTGAAATGACATTATATGATTGAGAGTCACCAACTTTAAGTATACCCATTTTTAATGCTTCACCTAAATCTAATTGTCGTGATGTTGCACGATCAATAATATGATGATTTGTTGTATTTATTAAACCACGAGAATAAGCTTCCCGTAAATCGTAACTTCTAAAAAAAAACGTATAAAAAAAGAAAAAAAAACATGAATAAAATTTAATGGTTTGTTTTCTTTTTAAATGATTGACAAGAAAAAAAAACAAATAATTATAATTTCGACTTCTATCAAACTCAATATATATATACATACATTTACATGTAAAACAAATTTGATTAGAAAATTAGATATATAGAATAAAGTATTGTTTTAGATGTATACATCATATGCATATATGAATTTCTCATTCGTATGCTAAGCAGAAATAAACATGCTTTGTACAAAACCTATGATTAAATTTCGTATTTGAGTAGAAGAGTGCCTATTATATTTTTGATTGCTTTTTTTTCTGTACAGTTATAAAGAAAAAACAAACATGTGCAAGAATTTTATTATATCATTCAGAAAAATATCTCAGTAAAATAAAAACCTGGATTTTTTTTTCTCGTTTTTTTTTTTACTTACCGTTGTTCGAGCGTATCGACCACGTAGGCGCTACGCGCGTCTAGAATATTTGTGTCGATCGCCTCTTTTAATGTAATGGTCGTAGTTGTATTAGTTGTGGTTATGGCGGAGTCTGCGCCAACGGGAGGAGGATAATTATTCACCAACAACGGCGACGTAGAGAGAAGATTTTTGTTGTTGGTTGTATGTGGCGGCGAAGACGATGAAGAAGAGAAATGGTTGTGAGGGTGGCCGGGCGGTGATGTAGAGGAAGAAAAAGGAGAAGAAGAAGAAGAAGAAGAAAGAACGAATGGAAAAGGAGAAGAAAGGAGACCAGTTGACAAATCGAGATATTTACTATTGACCGCATCAATAAACGAGAAATTTTTTCGTGATGTCATTTCATTTAATTTTGAACTTGTTATAATGATATTATCATTAGTAATTGACGACGATGATGATGATAATGGTTGTTGTTTTTGAATAATAAAATTAACTTTGTTATTATTTATTCGATCATTATCTATTGATGATGACGATGATAATATATTTGTTTCTGGTATAAGATAGGTAGTTTCAAATGAAATTGAACCATCAATTGATGATAATGGATGTTGATTAACAGTGACCTTTCCGTGTGACAAGTCAATAAAACCTACGAGAAAGACAACAGATTGTATGACATCATCATAAATCTTTCAAATTTTTACATAAGCGATCAGAGAAAAAGAGAGAGAGAGAGAGTGACAAAGAGAATTAATTGTTTGTTCTTCACTTCAAACTTTTCTCCGTAGACATATATATACACCTCACTTAAAAAAGAGAAGAGAAAATGAAAAAATAGATGACGTAAAAAGGGACATGAAGAAACAATGTATATGAATGAATGAACCGGCAGCGTCCACAACAACGGTCGGACGGACAATAGAGGAAGCTGTAAGAGAAATGTAAAACGGAGAGAAAAAAAAAGAAAGAGCATGCACATCTAGCATACAAACCTCGATTTGTTGTATTTTTTTTACTGCTTTCACTCTCTCTCTCACTATGTATACATACTTCTACATATGCATTTACTATCGTTCTTTCATTTTCTTCTCAATATAAAATAACTGAACTAACTGCCTCAACACTACATATATAGACATACATATGACAAGCAGCAGCAGCAACAAAAAAAAAAGAAAGGTAGAGATTAGATTTGTGTCAATATCATTATTGCACATCTATCTCATTACAGTTTTTGGGATTGTATATCTCTATTCATAATAGACAAGAAAAGAAACAAAATTGGTTAGAGTTTGATGAATATTTTAACATTTATTCTATACTAAACAGTATCACAGCCTAACGAGCGTATGAATGATATCAATTAGTCGATAAAGAATGTCGTCTAGTCAATTGATTGTTTTGACTTAGGTTGTCTGTTATGCTATGAAAAATATGTTAAATACAAAAAGTCAAAATGTTGTGTTGTGGTTGATGACAAGACTAAAGTATTTAAGATAATGCATATATATATATTCTCATTTAAAATATTATCGCCATCAATAATTATTTATTAGTATGTCTATTCTATTAGATTGATATCCATATATTTAAGTTATCATGTTAAATCTTTCTTTCTTTTTTTCATGCTTAACTTAACATGAAAGATAAATCAACATATATACAGATGGGTTAAATTAATGACAGGAGAAAAGTTCATCTGAGCATCTCATTTAATCTCAACTGAAAATGAATGAATAGAATGAAGGACAATTTTATTGTAGTCTAACCCTATTTGATACGATTTGACCTTCTTTACATGTATTGATCATAAAAAAAACGAAGAAGAAAGAAAACCAAAGAGTGAGAATGTAAATGTGCTCGACCTTGTTCGTAACGGAGTAAAGTATCTTCTTATCTGAGATATATATATATATTCTATAATTATTCTTCTTCTGCTTTTTCACACATGTATGTCTATGTGATTATGTAGTCGATATTCTCATCATAAAAGAAAAGAAAAGAAAAACCTATCATATCAGAAGTAATATCGATCAATCTACCGGAGAACAAGATAAATGATAAAGAAAAACATGCTCAATTACATTTTCATACCATTACTTTTCATGATTACCTGTTTTATTCTGTTGATTTCGTTTTATAAAAGATTGTTGTTCATCTTCATCGGATGAAACAAGTGATTCTAAAATAATATTATATCGAGATACAATTGTACTGCGATAGAGTTGAACAATAGTTGATGCAGCGTCTATTGGAAGATTAATTGTCTATAAATAACAAAAAGAAAAGAAAAGAAAGGTCATAAATCATATATTTAATTACTTGTCCGATTGTCTTTAGATGTTTTATAAATAAACGCACATATTCTTCTATTTTAGCAAGAAGATTAGCATATCGTCTAATAAAAGAGAAATTATTTATTTAATCTATACCAAGAATTAATTTTTTTCTTTCGATAGTTACTTATCAAATAATTCTACTTTATTTAAAACCACTAGAGACGCATGTTGATTATTTGAAGAATATTGTTGACGTTTAGATGAAATTGAATTTAAATCACATAACGATAAACGAAAATGTTTTAAAATTTTGTCATGCATCTATAAGATTTTTTTTCGTTTGATAACATTTAATAATGAAAAAAAGAAACACAGTTTACATGCAGCAACATGCGAACACAACTAGAGCTTTTTTTTTTGTTTCTATTGTATACAAGCAGTGAGATTAGTATTACCTTAACTTCTTCGATGAATTTAACAGCAACATCGTTCATATGTTCAATTGATTGTGCTTGTACAAGAATTTCATTAAATAAATCCTAAAGATAAAAAAAGAGAATTTGAATCAAATTTTCGAGATTTTTTCTACTGTAACAGTTTTTGTCATTTTTCGAAGTTTATTTGAATCATTTGATATTGATTCAAGATTTTGAAAACGTTTTTCTAAATTATTAATAATTTTTTCTTCATTTTGAAATAATGTTTGAAACGATCGATGTGATTCAATTATTTGTATAATCGATCGTTTTCTAT